GGTAAAATATCAGGCATGTCTACATGATATAAACTTACTGGCCCCACTTAATAAATTTGAAAGAGAAAATAATTGAAAATAGTATTTATTCTAAACTTTGAATTAAAGGGACAAATTATTAATGACGCATCATAATTCCAAAATGTGAGCAAAACGTTTCAACTTACAACTGATAATGCTTATATTCCCTTCGTAGTGCTTGATGTGTACTAAGTCGATAAAGTCTCGGGGGGAAATTGAGCCCATGGCAAAACTTTGTGTAACGGTATGACATAAAAATGTGTCCTGCAACAAATCAAACCATAAAGACTGTAACAATTACTTACTTACTTTTAAAGTTTTACTGTTTAATTGACACATCATAATTATACATACTCATGGAGTACATAGTGATGTTGTGACACATATAGCAGCAATTATTTAATATCTTTTCTTTGTATTGTTCCCTAAAGAATTTCTTTCTACAAAATTGGCCTTTGTTTGGAAAAAGCAAGGTTTTGATGTTTTATGATCTTATCACCAAATCAGCTTGCATTTTGAGTGTTAAAAGACATTTAGATGAATAATATCGAGTGTATAAAATTCAGGAGATGATCTTGAGATAATCTACTCTTCCAGTTTTTAGATGGAGAAATTAAAGCCTAACAGATTAAATCACACAACTAGAGACAAGCACAGAACTAGAACCCAGGTTTCTTAACCCCCTATGTAGTACTATCTCAACTACTCTGCATGGGCTAGGTAATGTATTCTGAATGATTCATTGACTGGGCACCCTGGGTGTATGGACTAAAATTACATATTGATATTATGTGCTGCCATGGCATCTGATGGGCCTAACTGCAAGTTCCTCTCTGCACTCTGTTCCTGTGGCTAAGATCCTCTAGCCAAATGACCTTCCTTGGCAACAGGATCAACCACGTTACTACTTATCCCCATTTTCTTGATTTTAGTTCCCTGCAGGTCCTTGGAATTATTCAGACAAGTCAATCATATCCTTCAAGAACCAGGGCTCACCTTACCCTGCTGACACCACAAAGCCTGCCTCCTGTAACCCTTGGTTATTCACTCTGTGACCACATCGCCCTGCGTGTCCTCCTACTCTGGTCTGTGATTAATGATTAATAAGCTATTGTGCATTTGGCCATCCCCATAACCCTAGGGTGGGAATTTCTCATCACCAATGGGGTGAAGAAGAGGAAATAAAAATATACTCCTGGAGATGAATAATATTAATAGGTAGGTAAAAGGATAATTTGTACTCTAATGCTATTCAGAAACACTGAATGCTGGAAAGGGCGTGGAATTGTGAATCATGAGATCAGGTGCAAATCAAATCCTGGTTCTATCATATACTGACTATGGTAACCTTAGGCATTCACATAATCTCTCTGAATATGTTTTCAAGCTTGTTGATGTCACATCTAGTATTCTTCCCACTATTATAGATGACTTACTACACCAACAGAAACGTGAAGTGCTAATGGAACTATATGGTTAGTATCATACAATGATGAAGGAACTAGTCCAATGTCTGGATTTTCATTTGTGAGGGACATTTCTCAAACTGAATATGCAAATCCCAGGGTCACAGACATGTGTTTTTGTGGATGGGAACTTCCTCTCTAAAGATAAAATTGATCTATAAGATGAAGGTCAAGGCCATTCTACAAGATGAAACTGATTTGCCTTCCTGAACTTTTCTCTAACTGTTCTTATCCCCTACACATTAATATCAGTTAAGTAAAACTAGATAAAATTACAGTGTTCTAAATATATGATGAGGTGATGGCAGATGTGTGGGGCATTTACTTATTTTTGTTTGTTTTGATGAGTGAAATGTGGGTTAGAGACTCAAAGAACCAAAGACCTAGTGATGTGGAATTTAACAAATGCAGTGGTTTACGAAAGTCATGAAAGTTTGTTTTCCTCCCTCATTCACATCTCCTACTCCTTCTAATAAAGTTACTACTAGCCAAAAACCTAGGATTCATTTTTTAAAAAGTTATTCAAGTATAATTTATATACCAAAAATTTACCTACAGTTCAATGAGTTTTCTAAAGTAAATTTATTTAGTTGTGTAATCTTCACCACAACCCAGTTTTAGAAGACTAATCTTTGATTCCTCTCTCCCAGCAACAGTAAGTCCTACTGACTCTCCCTCTAAAGTATAACTTTGGATTTTCTGATCCATCTCCCTCTGCACTGCTACCACCCTAGCACACGCCACATCATGTCTCATTTGGATTACTATGATAGCCTCCTAAGTGTTCTCACTTTCATTCTGGCCCCTTTACAATCCATCCATGCTCCTTTTAGCATGTGTCTTTTGAAAGTATAAATCAAACCAGTCATTCTCCTGCTTGGAAAACCTCAATGGGTTTCCATTGAACTTAAGAGTAAAATTTCTCCCCCTGACCTATGAGACTCTTGCAGAATCTGATCCTGGACTAACCTCTCCAACCTCACCTCCTGTCATTCTTCTTGCCCCACAGACCTTGTTTTTCTCTTCACCAAACACTGCAAACTCCAGCCTCTAGGCCTTGAATTTGCTCTCCTTTCTGTCAGCTGCTCCCTCCCAGATCTTTGTCTGTCTATCTCCCTTACCACCATTTTGTTACTCAAGTTTCTAATCAAATGTCTCTTCCTCTTCCTAATCCTTCCTGATTAACTAGCTATAAATTAGCTTCTGGTTATTGCCTATGCTATTATCTTTCATAATATTCTCATCCATCCCACCTTCAGAATAGTTATCTTTATCGGGTAAGTTATTTTATTGTTTATTTCCTTATTATGTCTCTTTTG